TTTACGTCAATGCGTTATTAGCAGGGCAGGACAATACAGATTTGCAAATGTCCTTCAAATTGAATGCTCGAAAAGGCCCGAATATGTTCTACTTCCATAAAATTTCACATCGCACGCATCTATGGACACTTTATCGCATCTTAAAAAACGGATTTGCTAACTTAATAACACTGATATTTCAGAATAGACTGAAATATCAATTTCAAACGCTTGTTATTCGAACAATTTGTAACTTATGGAAAAATTTTGGATGTTGAATAATTGGTAAGAAAAGACAAGCTTGCAAAGGATGCTAAGTAATATAGGTATGTATATAACAAATAATTTTTATTTGCATCTGTAGGGTCACTATACCAATAAGCTTTGCGCGGACGCCTTCCCTAAAGTCAATTCGAGTCCAAGTTTTGGATAGTTCTTAAGTTTATTCTATGAACATTTAAAGACTTTTCACGCAGAGAGTTTTCAGATTTGTAAAGACCCAAAGTTATTGTTTATGCTTGCAAATTTTCGAATTCAGAAGAAATCTTTAACCCTTTCTTTTAAGTCGTGTTTTATATTTACTTGAGAATCGTAGCATTGGACTCCTTATGCCTAAGGAGTTGATTGTAGAGGGAAGAACAGAAAAAGTAACATGCAAATGGAAGTGATCAAACGTAATGGTCCGGTGATTTACAATGTGCTTCCTTTCATTTTTAAATTATTTCCTAAGCTAAAGAAAATTTTTTTCAATTCCGAACACTGCTGTGTGCGAAAAGTCAGATCAATTTAATTTATTTGTTTTGAAAACTATTTATTATTCTAAATCGGCTTCGTTGCTTTCAAAGTAATGTCCAAACTTGGGGAAAACAATATTTCTAATATTCGCTCGATTCGGGCATCTCGGCCATCAAATGATACGAATATTGATCGAAGTATTATTATGAGTGCCTCTACCAACTAAATATATTAGTGGTTTTATTCCATTTCCAATCTTCATATGTATGCATCGCTAAGGTAATCAGCCTTTCTAAAATCATAAGCCAACTTTGGTCTGTACGTCTTATCTCTTGTAAGTCACATGAAGAAATGTTCAGTTTCAACTTGCCGACTAAGTTTTTCACTAAATTTAACTGTGTACTTCAAAGTCACTTAATAATCACTTAATTATTATATTTAATTTAAAGGCTTAAAGCACTAGCATCTAAGGCTATGGGCTTTATTGAAAGCCCTATCGCACTTGGAATTTAAATCCACGACAATTGAGTAGTTAGTCGAGTCACTCAGACGAATAAACATTACTGTAAAAATAATTCATAGAGAGATCAGAACATCACAGAGAAAGCGTACGGTTTGATTTCTTCGAAAAGTCCGTTTGGTTTTAGATCTTGCGATGCTGTCTCCATATTATAACTTCTCAAAGCGAATGAAAAGGATAAGACAGGCAGTCTAATATTTCTCTTCTTATTCGCTTTAACAAACTATATTCTGGACATAATGTCGTAAAATATTAGATTGATTGATTGTCTTATGACCAACCGTTCTGGGCGAAGTTCTCGGCTTCAAAAGTTTTTCATTTTTTTGGTTTCATAGGTTTCGGATTAAATAACCATCGCCTTAGCCGAGATGAAGACTAAGCAGGGAAATGCTTACAACGGTCTATATCCATATTCATTTAGGCTGGAATGTGAAAAGAAAAAACAAAAAAAGGAAACTCTCGCAAAATGCAAATTTAAAGTGGAAAAATAAGGGTCGAAATCTTGCAGCACTTTATTCCAGCACTTCAAGTTGATTCGACGTGATGGAAGGTGCTTGAAGCCGAGTGAAACCTTTTAGCTTCTTTACTTCGGTATATGATTTTCTCTGAATCTCAGAATGGGATGTTTATTTCTCTTGTCCTAGATCATTGCACTCCACATACTTGAAAATTCGTATGATAAGAAGGAAATTTCAAATATTTCAAAATTATTTCTACATTTAATTCAATTCAATTAAAATAACTATTTCTGCATATAGAGGAAAATCCCAAACAAATTTTAGACTTAACTTTTGATTTTTTAAAATTTTTTTTAAATGCGCGCCTTGCGAAAAGAAATGACCAGAAAATACATACAGATATATATGGCAGACATTCTTCAATAATCCTCATTATCTATAGAACAGAATTTTAAATTTTTTTTTTATTTTTAGAATTTTTTCATTTATTTCAATAATTTACATAAAACAGTAGCTCACTGCAGTTTAAAACGTGTTTTTTTTTTCTTTCTTTCCTTCTTTTTTTTTCTCTTTTTTTTTTTTTTTTTTTTGAAAAGGATAGGAGGTTAATAGGCTTTCTTAGTTAATATATAAATAATATCTGTATATAAACGTGTCTTTTTGTTTTTCTTTGTTATAACAATCAACTTTTATGTTTAAATTTGTAAAAATTACAAATTATATATAATTAAATATTTATGTATATATATATATATATACATATACATATATATATATAGCTAAGTATTACATGTTTTCTTTTACAAAAACTAAAACGAAAAATATTGTATTTAAGTTTTAACTAAATTGCTGTCAAATATATTAGAGTTTTTGTTTTTAAAGATTTTTTAACAATTTTCTTGTGTATGTATATATGCATATATTTATATATATATATATATACATATATGTATACCTATATATATATATGTATAACTTTCATAATAATAATAAGTGTTTTGTGTTACAATAGAGGGCGTTGGTGGATTGTAGAGCGAAGATTCTGATTTTTTTGTTTTGTTTGTTTTTTTTTTCTCGTTAACAGAAATTTAAATCATTTATATAATAAAGAAGACCATTTTTTTTTTAAATTAAGTTCTTATAAAATATATTGTCCATTGAAATTTTGTTTTTTTTAAATTTTATTTTTCAAAATTAATTTAAAAATTTTTTTTATTTCTAATATTAATGTAATGAAAGGATAAACGCACTCAAAATGATATCTCTCATGCAATACTTTATATAATAAAAGTCGCGTGTAATTTTTATAAACAGAACTTGAATTTTAATCTCAGATTAGAAGGAAAGGGCGATGTACGGGTTTTGTTAAATCGTTTGCAATCTTCAGAAATATCCATCAGGAATTTGTGAAGCACACATATGTTTGGTTATGATTTTAAAGCTAACCTGTTTGCGCTCTCCATGTCTGTTCCTCTTCTGTCGGCTACTTCCTCGTTTGTGCCGTTCTTTCTGTCGTTCTCTTGTCCGTCCGTCTATTGGTCGTTTATGTATTCGCAGGGTCAACTCTGACCCAGAGCTTGCCTTCCTCTTTTCCATATACATCATTGATCCAGGTGTCCATCTGTCCAATCAATTGTTTACTTGTCTGCCTGCCCGCAGGTTGGGCTGTGCTCTCGTCGTTTTGTCCCTCCGTTGGTTTTTCTCAACGCTGGTCAATTTGCCCATACGTCCTTTGGTCTCTCTGGTTTTTTCGTCCGTTCTCCTCTTCTTTTGTCTATCGATCGGCTCGTCCGTCTGTCCATTCGCTGGTTTGTCCGCACGTCGTTCTATTCGTTCGTTGATCCCTCCATACGTCATTCTACCTGTTCACAACTCTATTCCTTCGTGTTTCTTCTTTGCTATTTTAGTTACGATCTATAGAACAAATACAAAGATAAGTGTGACTTGCTGCAACATACGGCCAAATTAGTTGAAACTATATGGAGAAACATGAAACACAATGAAAATGATCGTTGGCACGCCTGCTGTAATAGATCACCATTTAATATCGAAAATATCTATGACTTGCTGTAAGGCCAATATTTGCCAGTGTTCGTATATACTTGTGCTTGGTGCAAAGAGAAGTTGAACTACTTATCACTGCTACGAAATTAAATATTGGACTGTAGCATACTAATACTGCATGGAATCATTGTATTAATGATAAGTATAAGTTTATGACCCTTACGAAGTGTTAGTGGTAGTGGTCAACTAATATACACTGATTCCTTTTTTTCAGCTATAAACTGCAATATTAGTGATTTGCTAAGCAATATTGTGAGACTCAAACGGAAAACCAGTTGCTTCTCAACTCAAAATTAGCGTTATTTTAAGAATTCTGAAAGCCGAATAGAGCTTGGAATTTATATTTCTTGATATTTTGACAGAGACGTAAATTTTCTTTCCATTTAGGGCGTAACAAAGCGGAAAGTAATAAAATGAATGATTTAAGATTCCTAAGCGCATGTATATGCTTGAAAACGTTTACAGATGTTTTAGATATCACTTTCATTGCGATTATCCTACAAAGTAATACAAATTTGTATACGATTTTAGTAGTTTCTCCTTTGTTTTCAATATGTTTGCGATTTCATGTATCATGATTAGACTGATTGGTTTATAAATCTCTTAACTTGCTCTTACATTCATGATAGATTGAATCATCGCGACAGAGTGAAAATGAATTATAATTGTTTTACACTCGTGGCTTAGTTAAATTTTAACTTCGTCAGCGTTTCGTTCTTTTTATGGCTTTTTATACTTTTTTTTTTTTTTTTTTCTTTTGCAATGATTAACACATGTATGTATATATATGTATATATGCGCGTATAGAATTAAATCTAATTTTATTTATATATAATTATATATAAGTATGTTCGTACGTTCGTATGTTCATCTATATATATGCATATGAATGTGTGTTTATGATATAATATGCACGTAATCGATTAAAACTTCAAAATGTTGGTACTGCGGCTCGTCCGGAAACTCGTGATAAGAGAGATGTTTGATGAGGAGAGAGATTCGATTTCATATCCATTTTGTGACACTCCATCAATTGATTGATATTCATTCTTATTAACTACAATTTGAAATTTTATTAATAATGCAATTTTGCAATATTAATGTTTTTTTTTATTTTTTTTTTATTTTTTTTTTAATTAATTCACTTACCTTCACTTTATATGCTTATATTCTTTTCATTATTAAATTAATTAATATATTTAAATGTTTCAAAATATCAATCAATTTTTTTGTTTTTTTTTTTTTTTGCTTTCTCATTTTTTACTTTCTTTATGTTACTTGTCTGTTTGAATTTTCTTTCAATCCTTCCTTCATTTATTTCATGTTCTTTAAGATTTCATCGGTTTCTTCGGGATCTTTAAGAGTATGCCATTGAGCAATAGGTCGCCGAGGAGAGGCCAACATATCCGACCAATGTCTTAATTCAGTACCGGTGCCCATACATCCTAATATACAGCGTCCAATGGGTTCAGAAGTACCGATACGATCATAATCCACCACGGTAACAACCAAGCAGATTTTCTTGTTGAAAAATATTAATAAATAAATATAATTAATTAATAGGTTATTCTTTAAAAAATTTAATTTGAACAAGATTTTTTTTGTCATTTAGTTCCTTTCAGAACATGTTTATACTAAATATTCTTTATATTTGTTATTGATTTAGAAGAAAGGGATTTCTCATGTTTGCGGGATTTTTATGTTTTTAGAGTGAATTATTATAGAAAAATTCTACTTTTCTGCTATAACTTTTGAATTTTGATTATTGGTTTATATTTAGTTGATAAGGAATCTGCGGAAAGTTCATTTCATAGGAATTTGTATCTATGAATATATATTTATACATATATATAAAGGTGAATATTTATTTGCTTAAACTAAATATTAAATATTTACTTACATACGCAGGATATATTTTGTAACTTTTATGAAAGGTATACAATGAGAATCATTAATAAATTTGTTAAAAGAATTTCAAATTTTTGAGCTTAATGTCGTTTAGTTCATCTTAATAACAAGGAAAACCTATAATCAACTTACGTCGAATCTATTCAATTAATGGCTGCACCGTAAGCGCGACATATTCTATGCAAGCCTAAGTATTTATTATGCAGGCATTGCAGCGTTACGGCCCAGCATTAAATAGCTTACACAACTTTTTAAGTATTCAAAATAAGGTCTTATATGGGAAGCAGTCGAAAAGTTGGTTTGATTCGAACCATTTTCAGAAGCATATGTCCTTGGCCTAAAACATGTAAGTGTACCTAATTTCATCAAAATATCCCAAAAATAACGACTTGAACAAAAGAACACAAAAGGGACAGACTGACTGACAAGCGTAAGTCAGTTTAGAAAATGAGTGTGATCTTCTCCCTCCTCTTGTTGTAGGTGTGGTGAAAAATTGTCGACTTGAGGTAAAGATCTTTAGAGAGTTGTACACATCGCAAAATCGGTTCACCAATGACATAAAATTGGAACCGAACCGTTCCTCTCTTTGGCGTACATAAGGTCATTATGTTAAATATCACCAAGGCATTCGACAGAATATGACACGCTCCTCTTGTCCTCAAGTTGAGTGCATTTGGTGGCCGTATCAGTTTGCCTCGATTTACATCGAACTTCGTACATAAACGTCTGATTAGAGTTGCAATCGACACGAGTTTATTTTCAAAGAGTTTTCCTAAAATAAAAAGATCCCGCAGAGCTTTTTTCTTTTGCGCTCGCTCCTCCTAGTGTGCAGGTCATGCCGTGCTTGATAAAATGCACTCTTCATCCATTGGTCGATGGTAGCAGCTTTCGTCACTCCTTTTTTCGTTTCTTAATCAAAATCTTATTGCAAGAGACCTTTCAGTTAGAATGCTGTCGAGCATACAGGATAAATTTTAACGTCAATAAAAGACATTGTTGTCCCTTATCGCAAAGTATCCTTTGGTGGTAGTATAAAAAATGTTATCGCTCGTGGCCACACGCAATACCGTCCATTGGATAGAAGTACTTGAAGTGTCGAAGAAAGAGTTAAGTGTTTACCCCTAATAATCCCCCCCGCCTGCGTAAAGTAAGCAAAACATTCTCAAATAACACAAAATTCTTTCGTCATTAGGGTTCAGCTACATTATATCCTTAATTTTCGTCTATGGGAGAACAGCAAAAAGCTACAGTGAAAAAACTATATAAAATTTACTAAATCGACGAATCAACCAGAGTTTCATCGGAATTTTTCAATTTATGTATTGCAAGGACCAAAGTAGCTGGACTTGTTTTGCTCCTATGCGCAGTTACGAGTTATTTCTAAGTATTTACCATAGTTAATGTATTTTTCGTTATCTGTTCATCCTTTTATAGTAAGTAGGTTGTTATTCTCTTGTGAGCATTATACGGATTTTGTATATAATATAACTAAGGACTGAACTAGAATGGGGACGTCAGCTGACATGCTTTGAGTTTGATCAGTTAACTGATTAGCAAAGCCAGTTTGATTTCGAATAGGGATGTATAGGGGAAGTTGAGTGAGCATTCTCCATCCGTCTAGATTGAAGCATCATCTGAACAATACCATTAAACGTTCATCATCCCTTTGAAAGTGCCCGCCGAGTAGTCGACTTAGGGATATATTTTTAAGAGACCGTCCATATTAATCGATAATCACAGATGATAGGATATTAGAAGAAATATAACTCGCAGGTTTTGGTCTATTCTTTGATTGCTAGCCACTAGGCTCCCGCGATGGAATAAAGTTGCATTGTACTTTCATTTATATTTCGTAAAAGATAGTTTTCTCTCTTGACGTTTTCATTGTAAATAAACCGAACTTGATTATAATGATTAAACGGGCAGTATAGCTTTCATTCGGGCGAGGGATACAACAATCTGGACACTGGAGCAATCACTGAGGCATAAATTGGTTGCGTTGTCCGCAGTGTCCTCAGTGTGGGAAAGAATTGCTAAAGCACGATTTTTCAACATGGCAAAAATTGGTTTCCTATTGCAACACTCATCCGGGAAACATGAGAAGCATTAAAACGAAATACGGGAACACTTTTTGTATTAGACGTTGCTGCTATGATTAGCCCAAAACTCAATCGATAATTTAGCGCGTTTGTAGTGTTTTCTTACGGCGATACATCAAAGGTATTTGCTTGGGTAGATACCCTGGGGGCAAAATGTTGGCGAAATAAGAGTTTCTTTCGTAACAAACCCGGTCATGACCGATTTGTGCATTTGATAAGTAATGCACGTCGCTTGATTTGTTTGACTATTTGTCTGTGGCATCTAAAAATGATATGCGGATATAAAAGTTACTTCTGAACTCATATATTCCTCTCAGCGCTAGCTGCAACTTTCACTTCCGTAAAAATTACACTGCAATGTTAAAGCACGTAAGACATTGTGTATCAAAGATGCCTTCTCAGCTAAATATAATGTATTTCCTTGTTATATATATTTACCTATTCAAAGCTTTTACCGTTTTAATATCGCTCCGATTAAAACGAATAAAAAACTTTTTGACTAATAATTCTCATTGTATACACTATGACTTAAGTCATTGTTATATAAGCTGAAAAATAAAAATATTTCACACAACATTCATTTTTTTCTCTAAGGATATTAATATTAAAAAAAAAAGATATATATAAAAATAATAACACAAAAAAAAAAAAAAAAAAAAAAACCAAAAACTAAAAAGCCATTAGAACGCTCTACTCTAGGTGGTAGCCTTTTTAGATAAACAGCCATTGTTCAAAAACGAAAAGACTGAATGGTGATTTTGATTTTCGGTGATTGCATATAAATGTCCTAAGAATGGTGCGTAAGGCTTCTTCTGTGATTTTTTATGCCGTGATTTTAGTGGGGTGGCGGTGATTTTCGCTATATTTATTTGTATATTATACAAGGCATGCATGGGTTTTTTTTTGGGGGTTGGGGGGTTTTGTCGTGTAGAAAATTTTTCAACTAAGCTGGGTAGAGGTAAAGGCGGTTGTGGTGGTGGTGGTGGTGGTGGTAGGTGGTAGTGTTAAGTAAGGGTAAGCAGTTTACATATGTTTTTTTTTTTTTTTTTTTGTTAGTTTTATCAAATGTATTTTGTTGAGATTTACTTGTTGATTGATTTCCTCAAATTGGGTAATAAATGTGATAATGTTGTGTATGAGGTAACTGTTCGAAGTTTTGTTAATTTCTTACATGAACAATGTTCTTTTTCGTTTTGAAATATTTTTCATATAAGAAAAGTGTTGAGAATTTTCTCTCATTTTTTTTTTTTTTTTTTTTTTTTTTGCAATTTTTGTTTTTTAGAAGTGAAAAAAGAATACTGCTCATTAAATACTGGTAAACGAAAATGTATAATATTCAATCCCATGTCTAAGTAAATATATTTGTTTTTGTTGTGGATATTGTTTTATTTTTTATTTTTTTTTCTGAGGGGGGCAGTAGTAGTGTTAGTAGCTCTATTTGTAGTATACTCATAAAAAACGCTAGGGCTTAGATTGAAATTTATTTGTAATTTCGTTACAATACTCTCAAAATCACCATAATTCAACGTGGATACCTGGGGTTGGATGGATGGATGGGTGTGTCCTGAACACACTCACCTTTCATTACATTTTTCTTTTATTTTCATTTATTACATGCTTACAAGTCTTTTATGTGTTGCTCGTTTTGTGGTTGATTGTTGTTGTTGTGGCTTTGTATCAAATCAGAAGACAGTGTCAAAATAACGAACCCGATATCTTTTTATTAAAAAAAGATTTTATTTGTTTTTTTCTTTTTTTTTTTTTTCTCATATTTCAAGAAATCTTCACAGTGAACATAATTGTATAGTAGTTGGAGTTTTGCTTTGGAAAAGTTTTTTTCTTTTTTTTGAAAAAATCAAACTAATATTTCATAGTTTGCTGTTCACTGTCCCTAAACTCGTTAAGTTATTTCTGAAGTTAATTTTTTTTTGTGTTTGTTTGTTTGTAAACTTCTCTAAAAATAACTTCAAAACTAAGAAAACGAGTGTTTCAGCGAGTGATTGTTATTCTCCTTTTCTTATCTTTTTTTTTTTCTTTTTTTGCATTTCTTTCAGTGTATGCTTAGTGTTGCATTGAAGCGTTATTGTTTGAATTGTTATTGTTGTTGTTAGAGTGGCAATTGTTGGCTTTGTTTTTATAATTATTTTAGAGTTTTAATTTAACTAAAGTGTGGTAGTGTTGTTTACTACAAAACAAGAGATTGGCTGATTGTTGCTTTTCATATTCAAGTATTACGTAAACGAAAACAGGGGAAGGATTATTTCATAACTCATAGTTTAAGTGATAGGTGGTTGGGCGAGTGGTTTTTGGTGGCGGCACACATAACTATTCAATTTTGCCAATTGTTAAGGTTACTTCTTTTTTTTTTTCTTGAATTAATAACAATTTTGTTTGTTTTTAAAAAAGCGCACATTAATTTAACTACAATTAAACAAAAAAATTTTTTATATTTATATAAATATATAAATTTTTTACATGACTTTTTAATAATATTTTTCAAAAAAAAAAAAAAAAACTAAAATCGCTAAATTGCTTTTAGATACAAATAACGCCCGCACGCAACGACGAAGCTTAAGAAGTCTATGTAGTTTAGAAGTCTTGAAGGGAGATGAATTGTCTTGAAATTTATTTTAAAATGAATTAACGTAATTTGTCTAAGTTTTAAAGAGTTTTTACAAATATTTTATAAAAAAGCAAAGCTTAGAGGGCTTGAGTTGCTTCATACAAGGTCTTTGGTGGTATCTGTTCTGTCTGTGTATCTTTGTGTTTTTATGTTGTGACCTAAAGTCATTCAGCTCTTTCAGATCAACGTCTGATAATACATAGATCTTAGATACATTAGAAATTGTGATCTTGCAAAATACTTTCACGGTCATCAGCAAAGATGAAGCGAAGCTTTTTGGCGTGTAAGTGAGTTATGTGCATCAGAAAGACCGGATTCCTATATAACCTATAGTATAAGGCGTACATTCAATTAGCCATAGCTAGTAAGACTACTAAGATTTGAAAAATATGTGGCTGTAAACTATTCTTCCGTATGTCACAATTGCTGCAAACAAAGTTCTATTACGTTAATGAGGAGGCATTTGCGAAAGAGCAATATAGAGAGATAAAAGTTAGGATGTCGATTATGATAAAGTTTGAGTGTAATCTCAAAAGGCATAGGAACACGCTTTTCTTCTCCAAATTCCTTCAGCATAATCTACCAGTAAGTGTAGGCGAAATCGATGCCTAATGCTTGTTGTTTGATACGATTTATATCTTAAAATCTGGTTAGTGGTTTAATAAGCATTTATTGCAACCAAAGACTTTGTCCGAGCGTGGTTCATCGCGAAATATTTATGAGGCAGCTATACTATCAACTATAAATTAGGATGAGAATAATGGGAAAAATATAAATTATACTCGTCAGCCCAATAAGAGCACTTTCAACGTCCTATTGAAACTCGAAGATTAAGCGAGTGATTCTCTCGAAACAGGGAGAACATACGACGGGCAGGAACAGAAAGATCATAAAGGATGCCATGCTAAGTTCAAGGCTGTTTTGTTTGGTAATGTAGAAAGTCGCACGTTCGAGAGGAATCGCCCAACTAAAGGTGATATGGAGTCGAAATGAGAAAATATTTTAGTTCAATTTAGGATCCCTTTAGGAGACCTTTCGTTTCATTAATATTGCGAAAGGTAGAAGAGCTAATTTAAATATGTATCGCAGCCGCATTCAAGGCGACCTTTCATAAGTTTTTCCAAACAGAGCCCTCAGTAAATTTCAGCGTGTACTGGATAAGCCTTTGTCGTTCGTATCAGATTCATTACCTAAGGGGATATCGCGGGCTGACTTCATTCACAAAAAATCAAGTTAAGAGCACACAACCTTCTAAAAGGATTTAGTGCGCTAATTGCCGCATTTCTAATATTGGGGCTTGGTCCGCCTACAAAAAATCGGAAGCACGGTAATTGACTAGGATTGTTTTCAGGATTACCTAAGCGGCCTACAAAAAAGGAAATTTTGAATAGGCATTCTCAAACTATTCTCCATGACAAAAAGGTTAAAAAGGAGAAAACACTGAGAAAATCGTATCTTTCTTTGACCATCTGGGACGAATCTAATTACCATCTGACTAGCACAAGTCATCATGTTGATAGCGTTTTGAGGCATGGCAAGTGGCAATGCTATTATAGGTAGGTCGCTGTAGCAAAATTGTCATAGTAAGTAAATGCGGACAGAATTTTTCAGAGCCAAAACCTATTTCCAGCAATCAAGAGACGAGCTTGCAATGCCTCTTAGAGTATCCGGACAATGGCTTTATTTATTATAAAAATAGATTATACCGTCTATTCGCGAGTAAGGCTTGCGAAAGACTTTAAACAAAGATAAGAATTAATTCGTTAAACGCTATAAAAGTGCATTAAGGACTCGGCGACTAAAAAGTGGGCACGGGTGTTACTGCAATACAGTAGAATAATGATCAGTTGCAATGATAATCATGTAAGCGTTATCTGCATCTAAAGGGTATCATTAAGTCAAGTGATGATGTGTCGTCACTTTTGTTGGGTAAAATTTATAAATTTAATTATATACAATAGGAGTATTATTTAATTGCAGGTTTATAAGTGATGACATATCATTCTAATGAAATGTAAATAAATAAAAACTTGTAAACGGAAGTTCGCTTTTAAACGTTTACTTAATATCAATCATTGAAAACATATTAATTAACAAAATTAAAAGGTTGTTATCGATAAAAAATATTAATATATATTTATATATATATATATATAGATTAATATATATATATATATATATATGTGTGGGTAGATAATAAAAATTCTGAAAGGTCGGGTAGATATTAAAAAATTTTGAACGACTGGTGATCTTAACTTTAAAAGCTTCGTTAAGCTTATGGGTGGGATGGGAAGACAATACTTCAAACACACACACATAGATTGCTCGTATAATTCTTTTTTTTTTTTTTTTTTTAATTGGCTCAGTAAAGTAACAGTAACAGTTAAGTAACAGTTTGAGAGATAGAGAGTAAGAGAGATTACGGGCTGGTTTGCTTAGTATCTGTCTGTGTAACTTTGTTGTGATTTTTTGATTGCTTTTGTTTCTTATTATTTTTTTATTTTAATTTTTTATATTCTTTGTTTTTTTTTTTTTTTTTGCTTTTTAATAGGATAGTAAAATACATTCTCGCATACTTGTATTTGTTCAAATGGTACTTCAAATGAGAACGACTCATTATAGTAAGGGTTGAGGGTGCATTTTTTGATACTTGTCTTCTTCTTTTTCAAACGTTTTCCATTTTGCATGATTGCAATTTTCACATACGGATCTATAAAATAGAATGAAAAAAAAATTGAAAAGAAAAAACGAATATTGAAAAGAAAGATTTACGAACGAACAGAACAGACGGTAACACACAAGAAAATTAATTTTGGAAATTTTAAAAATTTTTTTCTTTGGCTGCTCACATAAAACAAACATTAAACATATTTTATAAATATTGGATTATAATTTTTGAGAAGGTTTTATAATAAAATTCACTAATTACAACTTTTAAATAAGGTATTGAACAGAACAAAAGTTATTTTATTTAATCATATATCAATATACGAATATAGGTTTGTTTCACCTATCGCCCGAGAGTATGTACATAAAGTTTCGCATAAGATATTTTACATTTCATAATATATCAGTCTATCATTTTCAATCACTTTCTGATGGATGACCAACACTATTCTTAAACTGTTCATCTTAGGCCCAAATTAATCTATCACAATGTACATAAAATTTGTGGTGAACGAATTCATTACACTGACGAACTCTGAAAAATTTTAATACCTAAGGTTAGTTAGCAACTTGAATGCCAATCAAGATATATAAGATATATAAGATCGACCTATGGCATGTCCGAGAACAAAAAGGTTAAAATTTTTCGCAGTGAGATTCAGAAACAGATTAGAGCTGCTTGATTAGAATCTTGTTGTACGGGCTAGCTGAAGGGCACGGTAAGTTGTTTGCAAAAATTGAGTTCCCTCTAATAAATACAATTTTCCATTTAATCCGTATGCTGAAAGTGATTTATAAAATTTACTTAGTGCACACGTCAGTCATGAAGTCGACCAGAATTGTTGTGTGTGGTGAATTTTGATATATATTTAACGTATGCTTTTTTAAGCGTCCGTCTTGATGACGTGACGTTTAAAACATCTGACGGGATGAAAAAATTTTCAACCGGTCGAACATAGAGAACTCTGTAAAATGGGCAATAGAAACTTGACAAATATCTAGTACGTCCACACTACTCATTTTCTTTTAAGTAGGCAAGTATTATTATTATTATTATAAACTTAGCCAGAGAATAAATTCTAAGACTAAAAGTCTAAGTCTTAAAGCACTAGCATCTAAGGCTTTCGGCTTTATTAAAAACTCTACCGCACTTGAGATTTGAACCCACGACCATTGAGTTGATAGTCGAGACTCTTGCCTACTCGGCCACTCAGGCGGATAAGTAGGCAAGTAGAATTACAATTCTCTTTCATATTCGGGTTGAATTAAAGTCTCACGTTAAATGTGAATACCACTTCGTCTTTGACTTTTGAGAGTTGCATGGAAAGTGCGTTTCACACAAAGGATACGAAGAATTGCCCATTTAGCAGTCCTTCTTAGGAACTGAATACATTTCATTGTTTAATATATTCAAGTTGTACTTGACAGCTTGATATTTTTCTAATAGATGTGATGGAAGCTTAAACAAGCCATAAAAAATTCGCAGGGGCGAGATAGCGCAAAGATTGCCGAAGGTGCTGAAAGATCTGGGATGGACATAAAAGATGTCTTTTCAAATGTCATAAACAGCTGTGGTCTGTTGGTTTAAAATAATATCTAAGATTTATATTAAATTTTCAAAGATTGCCTTGACGTAGTCAAAAACTAAGTCCGTTGTGAAATTGCTGAGTATGACTGAAAAGTGTTCTCTGTAGTAATGCAAAGCTACTCAAATCAAATGTAAAATGACACAACATCGGTTAACTCAATTAATGTATCTACATTTGAATGCCTTATCCAAGGGCGGACCTGGAATAACAGCGCAAAAATGGAATTCTGACAGTCCAAAGCTGGAAAGTGGTGAAACCTGGGCTGGTATATATGGGCCGAGATTTTGAAAGGCCAAATCCGTAGGAATATGCACCGTCAATATTTCTAGCAAAGGTCTATGCCAACTCTACTTGTGCATCAGAATGTTTACGAAAGCAAGAGAACACTAAAAGGTAAAGAATAATTTCTAATTTCTGAATGAATTAGGTAAGCGTAACGAGGCGCACCTAATATCGGAACGTTCTGGTATCGAAGACAAAGAAAGGGCTGACTGTGTACCTAACAGGGAAGCACATAGGACTAATATCGATACGGAATCTTTCTGTGGCTTGCCAAGAAGCCATATTAAGAGGCCGGTATCGCAATGGGAACAGAAAAAATCAGCATATTCCTTGAAGCAGAGGGCAGGACAACGGCAAGCTAAAAAATAAATCTTCTGGCACAGCATACGTGAATCATGAAGAAGGAACATACGTGTCGTACGTGAATTTTATACGAGTTAGAACTTCCTCATGCACCACCTAAAACATATATGGGCATCTCGAACGCCGATTCATGCTGACTTTACGAGGAGACCAGGTCCCATCATATCCTGTGCGAATGCGCGGTTTCTTCAGGATCAGATACCACGTGTTTGGCGAACAACTCACAACTTCGAAGGGCCTACGGCGCTCGGAACCTACGAAGATGGCGGGATTCATTTGAACCCTAGGAGGACTACAAGATATGTTATTTTTCGAAGACTTCTCGACATCGTTAATAAGTTGGCTGACATTCCTACAGCTTACATAGGTTATGGCTCGCTTTATTCTTGAAAAAAGAAAAGTGAGAAAAGGTCGGGGCAATGATGGCATGACATTACCAAGAAATCAAATATCGTTAACCTTTTTCTGGGTACAAGCAGAAGTGCGATATTTGTACGCTACAACAACTTTTCAGAAAGTATTTCATATCCCGAGTTTGTATTAACGAAACGCTACTGCAACGTAAAAGCATTGAAGTATTCTGAGAAGAAAAATGTCAGCCCAAGGTGAACCACCACAGAAGAGTGTACAGTGTGTGTAGTGTGTAGTATGAGGTTTTAGACTCTGATTAAACGGTTAGCTGAGTAATTAACTAGAGTGCAGCAAGCAATTCAGAATGAAATAACCCTTCAATCGTGACAACATCAAATCACACATACTTTTGACGACCTGTCGGAAAAGTGAAGAGCCTCTGCGGTGAAGCTTTGATACATTAACCGTTTCGCGTGCTGCGAAACTTCCTTGATGGTCTTAAGTTACACTCAAAGGCGAGCTTTTGGGCAACTTTTTCGCTGATAATTCATAAAAGTCCCACCTAATTAAACAACTTACTGAAAATTGACAAACGGTCTTAGAAAATACGACAAAAGAATCATTATGCACTTGTGTAAAATTTAGCTTGATAACAATTGAGAAAAAACCTCTCAAGCCTTGTCCTCAAACTGTTGTTTATAAACCTTTTTTATATAATCAAAAGTCATTCAACATATTTAAATATAAAAAGCACTTTCTTAGAGCTCGAAATTCAAAATTTGTCTTCAATAGGTCGCTCATGTGCAAGTTCTACAAAAAAAAAAAAAAAAAGAGTAAAGAAATCTACATGAGCAGCTTTATTTGCGCAGTCTCCAAATCAACAGCAAATCGTATGACGTCACTAAGTCGTCGTATTCAGAAATGAGTTTTTAAGTTGATAACTTGACTGCCAAGCCAACTTTACTTTTATTTGCAAATACTTTGTGTGCAAACATTTAACAAGGGCCTTCGAAGTTGCAATTAGAAGGCAGCTGCGTAGAGAATTTATACTCAAGAGCTCTTCTCGAGCATTGCGGTAGTTAGGAAATCACAAACTTTTATTATAGATGGGACAGCAGCTTCCACTGAACAATGAATTGAATTGAGAACAATAGTGCAGCGCCTAGCAACTCGTATATCCGAAAAAAGTGGTTTCTTTATATAAGTAATTTATGAGATTTTCGTTCATACGGTAAGGTTTTTGCATCCGTTTGAATAAAGTTAGATCTCTTGGCCAAAATATAAACGCTTAGAATGATCATTAAGCCATTAAGAGCGATACCACAATTTCAAGATAGGGTGTGGACTATTTGCTTATATATAGTACACCAGTTGTGATGGAAGGGTCTATTAAGTTTATGCAGATGTATGCAACACCAGGAAGGCGTTAAAATAGACCCATCTTTTAAGATGTAAGCTTGTCTGTCCGTCTTGTTTGTGTGCAATTTGAAGGCGGAGATATTTTCATGAAGTTTAGTAAAATAACCTATTTTGACCTAAGGACGAACCCCATTGTCCGAATTTGAATCATTTATTGGGACGCTTATCACATAAAGTTGCATTTTGAAAAGTAGCAATATGCGTAATTGTGCGGTGGTGGTGCATAGCACCCATCACCATAGCATTTTTATTCGTTGTAAATAACTCTGTAGGCGACAGGTTGTAAAAGATTCGACTGAAGCCGAATCAAAGGATTATCGTTTTTTAAATGCAAAAACAATAAATTAAGAAATTTTCACGTATTTTAATTTTCTTTTGTTTTTACTTTAACGAAATTATAAGAAAATTACTGTAAGCTGAACAATTTCTTACGAGGTTTTTGTTTGTAAAAGCCTAGAAGATCTTATAGGTATTAAAAGAGATATTTTTAAAGGCAACACCCCGTGGAAAAAATCTTAAAGGATTTATAATAAGGGTACGTTAAAAAGAATTATTTATGAATAACGTGCAACAAAAACTCTAAAAAAAGGGAATTAACTTAAATTCAAGCGTTTATTTATACTTAAACTAAACAAAAATTTAACAGAGTGTTGCCTAATAAAAATATCATATCTTACGGGGGCGCGATATAATGAGGTTAATAATATAAGCTGCTATTAGAAATAAAATGAAAAGTTTTTTTTATTTATTTTTTTTTTTTAATTAAAATGGACTTTAAAGGGAAATTTTTTGTACTTTTCAAATTAAATTTATAAAAAAATGTTTTTGTACAAGCATAGCTGAGTGATCACTCGGTTGTAAAGTAAGTCATCACTCTTAAGTTTCACTTTTTTTTTTTTCTTTTTTTAACCTAAAAATTTAATATAATTCATATTTGTTTATAATTAAAAATTGTTTTGTTAAATTCTATATAATTGTAAATAACACACAAGTTAACATTAATAATAATAATAATATACGTGTAGCAAACGAAAGAGTAATAGAAACGAAACAATGCTTTGGTTTTTAAATATATAAAAAAATATTCTTTTAATCGTTTTTTGCTTTTTACAACAATAATAATTTGGTTTCCAAATCTATTACCAGACAATCCACCGACGTCCATTTTTTTGAGATTTTTAGCTTCCAAGATAACGACAGTTAGTTTGCCTGCAGTCGGCACATAACGCAAAGAGAAGCATATATCGCCCAGCTTTTCCTAAAGTTTGGAAACAAAAAAGAAACAGAAAAGAACAGAGGGAGAGAGAGAGAGAGAGGGAAATGAGAAGAGAAAAAAAAAAAAAAGAAAAGAAATAAAAAGAGACATAGACGTAGATAGAAGAAAAGGGAAGAATAAGAAAGGAAATGTATAAAATTGATAAAAACTGTCTTTTTATATCGAGAATTTTATGTAACTACATACAATATTAAATAATTTTTATTTTTTTTTTTTTTTTGCTTTCAATAAACACAGAAATGACACATAGAGATAGTTATTTGTTAGTATATTTTTTAACATCTCTTAACATTTAAAAGATGAAGTGCTACATCAAGTATTTGAAGGGTCTTTAAAAATTCCTAAAAAAAATTTCAATTCCTGCCTTAAACGGGATATTAAAATGCATTGACCAATTTTGCACATCTAATAATTATTTATACATAGCGCGAATATTATATAGTATAAGGTTTTGAGTTGCAATGTATATATATATATATATATATATATATATATATGTCTCTTTACGCATCGCGTCGTATATTTGCCCGTTCTATGGTCTTACTGTTAATTGCCTTTCTTACGGTTGCCTCGGTACCTCTACATTTTTTCTTTTGCCGATCTGTCTGCCGAGGAGCATTATTTTCTGTTCTTCACCATTTCTCTGCTTGTCTGTTTGGTTATCGGCCTTTCAGCTCGGTCTTTTATTCGTCTTTTCGTTCGCCTGTTCGTCTCTATATATTTGTTCGTTCGTTCCTCTATACATCGTTTTCCCACCAACTGTCTGCCTTACTTCCCTTTTTATCGCCCCGAAATGCATTCACTTATAATCGCCTCATTTCCCTGCTTCGAGGAAAACATCGGCTCCCCTGCTCAGCCAATTATTCCCTACAACCCTACTTACTTGTA